TTTAATCAAGATATCGCACTCGTAGCCATAGCTTATAGGTAGGCCATTGGCCCTCTTCATATAATTAGGTGTCCGTATAACGACATTTCTATCTAATGAAGTTTCTGTATAAAGAGGTTTGTATATAATGTGGTTTCCTAGGTAGTTAGATAGATGAAGTGGAAAGAGGTTCCAACTTTTCTCACATAGCTAAAAAAGTCATTGTAATTCCACATTATTCCTAATTATGGGTAGAAAATTGAGCATCTTAGAACCAGGTAAACGCATTTATCTATGCAAGTATCTGGCCAATATAAATGTTACAAATATCGCATTAAATTAAAAAATGGGACACCCTGAAGCTTGAGATTAATTCTATATAAAACTTGACATAAACAAAGCAAGTGTTCCGGTGTCTTCTCTTCGAGCAACAATACAAATGTTCTACAACAGAATCACTAGGGCATGTCTAGCCTGACTTAATGCCTTCATATATTCTAGTGGCCCATCGATATTATTTTAGATACTTCCGGGTTACTTTTATGAATTAAGTAAAAGGTTTTCTGTTCTTTAAACATTGTTGGTATAGACAAATATTATACCAACTTTTGTATGTAGGTCTATCCCTAAAAGGTTTCATATAACTGAGTTTCTAAAAAATGAAATTTCCAAATAATGTTCCTCCATAACAAGGTTTACATATAACAAGGCTTCCAAATGTCTTTTTACATAGAGACAAGATAACAAAGATAAAGATAACAAAGTTTTCATAATATAAGATATCCATACAACAAGATCTTCATACAACAAGATTTTTGTATAACGAAAATATCATTTTCTTTGCGTTTATAAGACAATATTTTCGTGTAAGGAGCAATTCATTAAAAGAGGTTTTAATCAATTTCCATATAAAGAAGGTTCCATATATTCACATTTTTATAAGATGCGATTTTCATAAAATGATATTTTTATAAAACAAGATTTCCATATAACGAAGTTTCCATTTAATAAGATTTTTATAAAACAATATTGCCATATACTGAAATGTTCATAAAACACGATTTCCATATAACAAGGGTTGTATATAATGAAATGTTTGTATAACGAGGATAAGAAGAGTTTGATATAGCGAGGTTTTCATAAATCAAAGTTTTTATTAAATGAGACTTTTGTATGACGTGGTTTTCGGGCCACGGGGACTCTGTATAGCGTGGTTTTTGCATAACGAGGATGGAGTATTATACGTAGGTATATCGTTTTAAAAATATGAAGTTATACTGTAAAGTTAAGTGTTTTCTATTTCTAATTTTTTCCACCTCACGAATATGATGGACAATATGAATGATTTAAAAAAATAACGGAAGCCCAAACTTTGTGTTAAAAATTATACTTGGCGAAAAAATAAATTATTTATTATTAAAGTCATCTATTCGCTAAAAGCATCTATTTTTGCTATAGTTTTGAGTAGACTTTTTAAGAACTATAAACTTAACTGTTTAATCCAATCATATTTGTACATAACGTACCATTTTTATGCTATTTTGATCGCTGTAAAATCAGTAGATTGAAAATTGATCAAATAACCTCGAAACGCGCAGTGAAGACGTTAAGAAAGAAGTCTTTCCTTCCAATACTATTGTTAACAATACGTACAAATATTGTTAAGAACATTTACATTAAATTTGTAATACGCTTTGTTGTTAAAAATAAATTTCTCAAAAGTCATTAATCTGTTTTAGAAGAAGTCTTTCCACTACTGAAGAAGCATTTATATAACTAGAAGAAATATTCAAACGAGTAAAGTATATTTTAATATCTTAATATTTTTATCGAATATCTTTTGCCTTTTTAAAAATCAAATTATTATTTTAAATTGTAATAATTTCTTTAAAGTTTAATATAGAGGTTTTTTCGAACAGTATTTAACTACAACAACAAAAATTTTATTTTTTATGTTATTTTAATTAATTGAAGCTTAATATAAAATTTTAAATTAAAATTAATAATATATAATAATATATACATATATAATATATATACAGTTTGTCAAGAATGAGTTTTCACACTGAAAATAATTGAAAATTTTAATTTCTTATTCAGAAAAAGACAACTTCTTGTTTTAGTATACATATGTATATATTTTTTATTTTATATATTTGTTAATTACTATATTAAGAATATAAATATAAAAAAAAATTATAAAATTATTGAAAGAAGAACACAAAATATGCCAAAAACAAATCCTACATCATTTTTTGACTGTCAAATTACTGTTTTCACAACTTGGGTTTTTCTATTATTTTGCATTATTTAACCCTCATACTATGTTCGGGTCATTTCATGACCCAAAATGACTTTAAATTGTAATAATTTTTTAAGTTTAGCATATTTTCTAAAACTTTTTCGCCTCAGTGTATAAATTTTAATATTATTTCATAAAATTAACTCAACTTGAACAAAATTTGTGTGATAGTCATTTAAATACAGCACTATGCACATGTTATGTTTGGGTCATTTTATGACCCCTTATTTTATTCATTATTTGCAATACTAATTATATGGCTTCTAAAAAGCGCATTGGCAACACTATTTATTAAGATAAAAACACTAACAAATTTTTCCCGCGCTAATGTAACTTTCATGTCAAAACGGTATTTTGATAAAGTGTTCGCAAGTTAATTTCATATAAACCTAATAAATTACAATAAATTATGTCGATCGGAATGGAAGTAAGTTTACATGTAATTATAATCTGTTTATCAAGAATCTATAATTTTTGTGCTTTATTTTTAAGACGCTGAAGGATGATGAAATTGTCGCTTTTTTGAGTGATTGTGACGACGAAGCAAGTGATGATGGTGATCCAGACTTTGAGCCAGAGCTACTTCAACGGAACTTATCAGAGGATGACATGGATACAGATGTAGAGCTGAGTAAAGAAATAGAGATTCCTCTTGAACAAAATAATTACTTTTGTAAAGATGGTAATATAAAGTGGACCACCATACCACCAAATGGAAGAGAATTACTTCGAGCCACAAATGAAAATGTGATACATGAAAGGACAGGTGTAACAGCATATGCTGTTCAACGAATCTCCGAAATAAGAGACTCGTTTGACTTATACATAACTACAACCATGAAGAAAGAAATAATTCGTTACAGCAATATGCAAGGCAATGCTGTATATGAAAATTTTCACTGTATGGACAAAATAGAATTTGATGCATATTTAGGTTTACTGATGCTTATTGGTTGGTGTTCTGCATATTCGTATACCCTGTACCGAGTCATCGAATTATTATATTTGCAGGTGTTTATCGTTCGTATGGTGAAAGCATTAGTTGCTTGTGGAATGAAAATCATGGCCGTCCATTGTTAAGAGCTGTTATGACCTTGGAACGTTTTACAATTATTTCTCGTGTCCTTGCATTTGATAATAGACAAGCCCGAAGATCACAAGTCCGCGGAGACAAGCTGGCACCAATTCGTAGTTTTTATGAAAAGTGGACTATAAATTTACAAGTACTTTACGTTCCCAATGAAAATATTACCGTTGACGAACAACTTATTCCGTTTCGTGATAGATGCCCATTTAAAGTTTATATGCCCAGTAAACCAGGTAAATATGGAATGAAGGCATGGATAGCAGCTGATTCTGCAACTGCGTTTTGTCTACAATTTCAAATATACCTTGGAAAAACTTCAGATTTGCCTGAAAGAAATCAAGGTGAACGAGTAGTTTTAGACCTAGTGTCACAATATACTGGTAGAAATGTAACAACCGATAATTTTTTTACGAGTCATAATTTGGCACAGGAATTACTAAAGCGAAAAATTACTTTAGTTGGCACTGTTCGAAAGAATAAAAGATTTTTACCGGTTCACTGCACAGTAAAAGAGTTACGAAAACTACCCATCTATACTAGCAAGTTTTTCTTTCATGAAAAAGAGACAATCGTACAATATGTGCCGAAGAGATATAAAATAGTTACTTTACTGAGTACGTTGCATCATAACGGAAAAATTTTAGAAGAACATTCAAAAAAAATACCGGAGGTAATAAAATATTATAACTTATCTAAAGGTGGAGTTGACACCATGGACCAAATGGTCCGCACGTACTCATGTAAACGTAAAACAAACCGTTGGCCAGTCGCTTTGTTTTCTAATCTAATTGATATTTCCGCTCTAAATGCATTTATATTGTGGACAGAGATCAATCCAAATTGGCAAAGCAGAAAATTATGTAAACGTCGGATTTTTTTGCAAGAATTGGAAGAAAGTCTAGTTCAACCGTGTATTTTACAGCGCAATCATATGCCTAGGTCTGAAGCCTCTGCC